CCCCCCCCCAGATAGGTCTCTGGATCCGCCACTGCTACGGTCCTTTTATTCTAGTTTCTTTTTCTTGTCGTTATCGTTTCATGTCTTTACTTAGAACCGATTTTTTTTCCGCCTGTGTAGACGACGAAATCATATTAATTATCGTTCAGGTACAACCAACAACTGAGTAGGGTTGACCGTATAATGCCTATACTGCCTCTTGAGAAGACTGAGTGAACTAGAACTGTTAGTTAGGAAGGAGTTTTACGGTTATTTTGCAAAAATGACCTGCATAAAGGACCGTAACTCCCTTTAAAAAAATATGAAATATGAAATTAAATACCGTATACATAATATATTATTATTCAAGTAAAGTTTCAACACAACCCACCTGTTAGTTAAGATGCAGTTTTCAGGACAAGTTACTGCGAACGACAGACAGACATCCAGACAGACTCCCTAGCTACGTTGCGGGGGTATACAACCAAAACACGTGACAATTTCAAGAGAATCAAAGGCGGGGAATCACTGCAAAATTAATGGATTTCTTACGCGTATGCGAGAATAACCTTACGTTTGGATGAATTGTTTGGACAATAATGGTTATCTTTACTGAAGCAATCCTTTAACATTCGTGAGATGATTGGAATCATTGTCTATTCTCTGCCGGAAAGTTCGCATTCGTCTCTAAACTAAGAAACATAGACAGAATATCCGGAAATTGTAAGATTAAAAACGAAACAACAAATTTGTGGAAAATTTGGACGGCAAAATTATCAGCGGATACATAATGTGTAAATTGGCATTTTACATTACTACAGCCTAACAGCTAGTTATCAGTATTATTTATTTATTTGCATTATCTGATAATCACTGCTATCTTTATTGAAAAATATACATAAATAAAAGCAGTTATACATATATTTGGAACTACAAATATTTGTTTTCGATATAATACAAATGCATTGATAATTCAATTAAATAAATAACATTTTGCCTTATTATATAATGTTATTATATGTGTTGACATATTATCTAACTATTTTTATTTTAGGCTTGAGCAAGCTATTGGAATGGCAGTTCCATATTGGGATAGTCGCATTGACTTTTACATGCGTAATCCTGTAGAATCCATATTATGGACAGATGCATTCTTCGGGCCGGGTTATGGTGAAATAAGGTCAGGACCTTTTGCGAATTGGGTAACGCCAACGGGCACCCCTCTTATCCGTAACATAGGAAGCACCGGTTCGTTGATTTCAGAAGCGATGGTCAGAAACGTCTTGTCCCAAGTTGATATAAATGCTGTTACCGAACCCAGTGCAGGGCCCTTCACAATTGAACGTATTCACAATGGGCCTCATGTTTGGGTTGATGGTCAGTTTTCCGCCCCGCTGACAGCCTCTTATGATCCGATTTTTTTTCTTCATCACTCATTCAGCGATTATGTATGGCGTCTATTTCGACGGAGACAGAGGGCAGCGGGAATAAACCCCGCTTTGGCATACCCAAGATCACTAGACCCAAATCAGGCTCCAGGAGCCCGGATGGTTCCATTTAATTACCGTTGTATTGATGGCTACTCAGAATATTTCGAGAGAAGAGTCATCTACGCTCCACCGCCTAGATGTCCTTACTGTGGCACACATGCAGTATGTAGAGGGGGAAGATGCGTATCAAGAAGAGGAGCAAGGCCAAGAATACCAAGGCGACCGGGTTTGTTGGGATCATTGTTCAGTTCCCCAACTTCCCCAACTTCCAACTCAGCTGCTTCTTCTTTTGGCCCGAAATTCCAATCTGATTTCCAGGATCCCAGAAATAACCGTGCAAAAAGGCATGCAATATCAGCTCTCAATGAACAGGTTCTTAATAATGATACAACTCTGATTAATAGACCGTATCAGAATACATTTGAATTAAATGGAGTAAGTAACATTGATCTTTGGGCGTTTGTGCCAGTAAAGATAATCTTCGAGAGACCTCCGCAATTGCATTTCGATTCATATCCTATCAAGAACGGTAGTGTTTCAAGAGCGTATGACATGTTCACACCATCAAAAGTTGAAAATGTAAATGAAAACAACAAGCGTCAGGCAACATATAGGGATTGTCACATTTCCGGTTCCGGTGCTGCAAAGGTTTATGTCCAGACAGACGGTATCGACTATTCTGGAAGGTACAAAGATTACGCTATAGTGGATGAGCGACAGGCGATATCTTCCACCATGACATATATAGGAGTCAAGAGTCCAAAAGATGGAGCTGCTCAGTTTTACATGAGCGCGTATGACACTTGTGGCCGTGTGTGTCGCCCACAGTGCCTAAGTGATAAAGGTTACAAACCATGCTCTGGCGCTTTCAGGGTGACGTCATCATTTCCTAAGATGTATGGCCTGTCTTATGAAGATGCTATCAAAAGAAATTGGAAGAAAGATGGAAGATTAACAACAGAACCAAACAAAGCTGAAATTCCCGTCATATTTCTTTGTGATGTTCAACCAACTTGGCCATGGAGTTAATAACTTTTCAACCAACTTGGCCATGGAGTTAATGACTTTTCAACCAACTTGGCCATGGAGTTAATAACTTGCATTGCTCATATCCAGTGTATGTGGTATTTATTTCAATTACGAATTTTTGATTTTACATTTTTTTGTTAGTCATCTGTTTTAATCTGTTATGAAATATAGCAAATACTGGTGAAATGCATTTTCGTAGTTGTTACTTGTTCTTGAGGAAAAGATGGTGACAGAAAGGATTATTTTGAAAGCCAAAGATTTGTTAGTTTCGTTTTGTTTCGTTTGGAATTATAACCTCATTCATAAAAAGGTAAATGGGAAACTATGAATAAACATAATTTATTTCCTACACAGACATCTATACAAAACGCAATATCTTCCGTTTTAAATAAAAATCATACAAAATTACATAAAACGTTTCATATTATAATAATAATAATAGTATTTATTTCAACTTGATGACGTTTTGAGTCAAAGACTCGTCTTACATAGGGTCAAGCATGATAAAATGTACACTATTTACAACAAAGTTACAACAATTATAAAACAACACAGAATCTGCATAAGAAAAGTATACATGTACAAAACAACACAGTCACAGCTAACCAAGTCCTATCTAGATAATAAATAGCCAATAATATAGCATCATCACATACTTGGTGACTTAAAACTTAGTAATCCTAAAACATAAATTAATAATGGATGCGTGCATGTCACACAAGTGTTACTTAACTCATTCACCCCTGAAGACACATTTGAACTCTTCCAATTCATAGGTTGGAATAGTTTATTATGAAATTTCAGGGGTGAATGAGTTAAGGATACGGTAAACGCACTATTCTAGTCAATAATGCTAATAAAGCAAAAGGGAATGATGTAATGTGCATTAAAGGTGGCAATGAAGTCGATGGACTATAATTTAGGTTATAAAAGAATAGTATCAAAATATTTTTTAAATTAAATAGTCTTAAGCAAAGTGCTCAAAACATTCCAGTGGTTGGGGGTCCCCCTATAGTCTAACCATTATACGCCAAATTAAGCCGAACCTCAAACTAATTGCAAAAGAAACTTTTTATTCACTATCATAATCCATAGTGTGTGGTTAAACAAACATACAAATTCGAAAACACAGAATAAATGGGAAAGGTTATTTTTTTTGGGGTCAAAGGTCACGCTAGGTATTTGGTTATATTCCATACACATTCCATTGACAATATGATGAAACAGATACTATATTGACCCGGTTTTACAATTTATCCAAAGCAATGAATACATTTTCAATACTTTTGAGCGATATACATAAATGAAAGCAAAATAAACAAATAAAACACTTTATCGTGTTTAAAAAAGTAGTATTTGGGACGAATTGACTTATAATTATGACATTAATTAAATCAGATTTATTAGATCAGAGTCCTGAATTAAATGAAAGTTCTATATAGTAATTATGGAACACTCGTAAAAAGTTTTTTAAAACGTGTTAAATGTATCTCGAAGTCGAATAGTATCACTAGTTTTCAGACAATATATCGTCTAACTGGTATGGACGAGATGACTTATGCCGATTCCAAGAGATCAAGGTTTCAGGATGACAGTTTCCAAAATGGATCACCAAACCGCCATTTTATGCATTCATTGTAAATTCAGAGAAAGATATATATGCATGTATGGTTGTAGCTGTTCTTTCCAACTAAATTAACACCCGGGGCTCACGTACGATATTGATAGAACACTCTGAAGTCACCAATTAGCATTTCCGGTTTTTGCAAAAACGAATCTTACACTTGAAATGAACATTTGTGTCACCATTTTAGCACTTTTAATGGGTTTTAAAATTTCAATGAATATAAGTATTTCTATAGGCTTAATTCATTCCTACAGTCCGAAACAGAATGCATAGTCCTCGCACGCGCCATATTTTAACAACATAACCAAAAAATGCAACTTTGAGTCTGAAATACGTTTTCTAATGCTATTTGAACTAGAAAACTAACCATATGTAGACAACAAATGATGTTCTCATGCATGGAAACTAGCGACAGCCAAAGTAACCATCGTGTGTATCTGAACACATGTTTTGTTTGTTAAAACTTCCGATATCTTAGTAGGCCCAGATCTTATTAGCAGTAAATGTTCATCGGCCCATCAACACAGGATAGGTCATCAGGGCCAACAATGGACAAAAACAAATGCAAAATAAAAGCATCAAACAAACTTAAAGGTAAAAAATAAATGTCAATTTGAATATTGAAAGTCGCTATGGTGACTCAAATCTTATTAAAAAGACCAGCAGCTTTCAGATAGCCTAAAATTGAAAAGACAGTTATGTTTTCGAAAAGAGACATGTAATGTTATTATAGAAATGTTTTCGTGTTGACTGAAGGTCGACACAATCTAATAGCAAGTGTTATACTGTAAATGGTTCCTGACACACTATGCATTGAGGCTGGTCTTCACGTTTCAGTAAATAACAATGGGTAATGTATAAATGACCCATCCGGAGACGGGCAATGACAACCTCGTCTCGGCGCCTCTCTCTATAGCTAGGATGCCTTTCACCAATTTCAGGTTTAATAGAATGTAATTTGTTATCAACGCATTGATTCCAATTATTTTGCCTTGTGATCGTACAAATGTTGTTTTAATTAAGTGGTTAAACATCAGTAAAATGAAGTTTAAAATCTTCAGGTGGTAGTGGTAGTGCTGCCTTCGCAACACGATCTGCCTTATCATTACCTGGTATTCCCAAATGTTCGGTAACCCAGCTTAATGTATTATGACACTTTGATTGCAATATTATGTAATAATGTTAAGATTTTTCACCAGACCTTCATGAATCACTCCGCCGTATACAGCAGTAACCAAATGTTCTCCAGACTTAAATACCTGTGCTTTCGTAATTTGCTTGAAAAAGACACGTGATTGTGAATTCAAGAATTCAACATCTCGAAACAACTTTAGCGTTGCAGCTTTACTGATTCCGAACATCCTATAAGTGGTATCACAGCCGCTTATTGCGTGGATAACTGGCAGAACCCCACAAATATCGTGTCCAATAACAGTTTTAGTCTTTCGTACGTCCCACACCTTGATTTTCCCTCTGGAATCATGATCTGATTTGAGTACAACGGCTGAAATTATGTCAAATCTAGATGAAAGAGAAGCAGCACAAGTAGATCGGTGTCTTTTCATAAAAATACGGTTGGCTTTGACAATGTTGAGGATGCGGCAGTACGTGCAATCAGGACATCTGCATCAGACATTGCCTTTTTTGTATCAATTCCACTTTCGGACCTCTATTTACTCAACAGGTTGATAACATTTTCTTTTTTTGTACTGTTTGCAAAGAACATGTCTTTCGTCGTCCTAAACGGGGTGTTTTCGGAAGAATAACGGTCAAATACCACTGTACAATCGGTGTGGGCGTGCTTGATGAAGTCAATGTATCTCCGACAGATCTGCCCAAATGTCGAGCCATTTTTCACTGTATCCGATGAAGAAGCTAGTAAAGATTATTATATCATTTACATCATACATGACGTATTTACGGTGTTAATCATCTAATAAGTTGTGGCTTCGTTTACTTGAGTATTTGTTAAAAACGCCACAATAGTGGTTTTGTTCAGGGAGGGACAATGAACAAAACAAAGAAATAAAGTAAGAAATTACAAGATATAAATAAAATATCAATAAGAGACAAGTTCTCAACGATTAAATTGCATGAAAATATATAATCATCGAAAACCGAAAAAAATGCAATTTGTGAACGCAAATTACAAAGTATGCTCTATTTTGACACGTGCGGGCTTCCATACATTTTTTGCTCAACACAATCTGATACATTATATTCATTAATATTTTTCCCGTTGACGGTATTTAATAGTATAGTTAATTAATTTGCACTAGTAACCATATCTATTCATCCTTATTGGGTTTTTATCCAAGTTATGATGATATTGTCGGTGACAAATAAAGAAATACCACTGATAACGTGATGTCATGTCAACAGAAAAAAAAAATATCGTAAAATCATAAATACATCTATTTATTGCATACTCACTTATGGATTGTACTCTCGAACTAACAGTTCATCGAATACAAGATCTTTTTAACTAATAACTAGATGTATACTAGATGTACGTGTATTTATCAACAATGACAGCGAAGGAAGCATGCGTCGTCTGCAAAATTACCTCCCTCTACAGCATACGGCGGCCCATAGAGGCCATATCAATAGTAGGCAATATTTCACACACAAAAACACGAAAAATAGTCATTTTCCCCTTTTCGATTTCTTTCGAATTTTAACATGTGATATATACCTACACGATCTACTTATTTCAACTGTGTTTGGTTTTTTTGCAATTTGTTTGAGGTATAATGGTAGGATGGTTAGACTTCTACCAACTGGTCAATTTGAGTATCCTGCTCAACATGTAGATATATCTGTAAGGATTAGGAAAATAAGAATCATGTTGAAGATATAATTGTCAGGTTGTACTTGTAAGCACATAAAGAAAAATGTTTGGTACCTTTCTTAAAAGATTAAGAGACTTTTGCAATTTTGCACATGTGGAAGTAAAATATATATTATGAAAAAATATGCATAACTTTGTTGTCCCCCGGAAGTTTATGTTTTCACCATTTTCATTAATATTCTGAAAATAAACAAGTGACATCTGGTGCGTTGCGTTATAATATACTGGCATACATTCCAATACATTTCTAAGGGGTTAGAATAGGCTCGCTGTGTCTCAAAACATACCGTAAATTGTTGCAAAAGACTTCTTGTATGAGCCCCTTTTAAGTCAGGGACTTTCTTCGTTGGCTCCTGCTAAGGGGATATTGAAGAAACCACAATTGATCTGCTGCCCCCATAGCATATTTGGGATCTTTATAATTTATCTCTTCCTCTTGAAAAACTAATTGTTTCCTAATGTCTTGCTTGGCAATTCCTCACTTTTGGTCAGTGTTGAGCGTTCGCCCAATTTGGGTAGGCAATTGGTTCTGTCCACATGCCAGGCCATACCAAGGCATTTAAAAGTGGTAGTTGTTATTCCCTGCTTAACGTTCAGTATTAAGGGTAATCATACAACAGGTTAATCGTTGTCAGTATAATGTGACCGGGTGGAATGCAGTCCTGGGTGCCTTCGGCATGTTATTGCAGTGAGGTAGCACTTTAAAGTCGGCACCAGATCCGCGCTATCGCAAGGAGCTTATCAACTTACCATGCTTCCAGCATACATACACAGTAACACATTATACACATGGGAGCACTTCCTTCAATGACCTGAGCTGTTAGATAGGACGTTAAACAAAACAATGCAAAACCCTTCGAAATTTTCTTCCACCATTTTATGTTACATATAAAATCATATATTTTGTGGAAATGAAATCATTTATAATTAAACATAAATTAATCATAAGATACTATTTGAAATCAATAATATGATCAGTATGTATTTGAAGACATATTTCATTTTTACGGACTTATATTGGCTTGTTGATGTGACAAATCAGTTGGTGGAAAACAGGTACAAAATAGTAGTTATCCGATCAGCCGACCGAAGCTAAAGATTCTTGTTTTGGTGAGCTCAAATTTAAGCGCATTTTCGAATGTGAATAGAATAGTGCGTTGATAAATTGGCGCACCCATGGTAAAAGTTATAGGAAATACTACATACCGAAACTGAAATAAACACAATCATAATTTTACGCAATAGTTCAACCAGGCAAAGCGCTCAAATAAGATTACCGCTAAAATGTGTATGTTTACGGTAATTGAATAAGAAATCAATTGTTGTTGACCGTTTTTTGAAAATACAGTATTGCATATTTACAGTAAATACCTGGGTAATTAAAGTCTATAGAATTATAGCATATATTATCTGTAACTGAGGAGGATCAGGTTCTGTAACATGATCCCAACTAAGGCGTACGCAGATGTTGGTTGTTACAGAATCTTGGACGGAGACTGAAATTATTCGCTCTCGCTGAATGAATATAAATTATACAGACAGAAACATGCGCCCGAATAAAGAGGCGTCACTCATACAGAGTAAGCTCTACGACCAGGATGAATTGTGTGTGTACATCAAAATCAAAATATATACATTGAGTATAAGACATTGCATTTTAAACATGTTTGATACGATAGCGATCTTTACAAACATATAAAACCTTCATTGCAGTGTAATTTGCGCCTTTTTCATCCTCTGGAATGAATAAATAAATATTTACACAGCAAAAATGTTGATTAAATTAGAATGTAATGTCATTATGAAATATTTCAGTTATTTGGTTTTTATAATTTCAAGATTTAAATTGATGGAGATGACTTCTCATAAAAAAATGAATAAAAAATAAAATACATCCTCACTCACAATTTAAAACAACAACAAGAGAAAACAGATGAACCGGAGGCTGGCTTACCTTGAAAAAAAATAGTTAGCTATTTTGTATCCATTTTTTCCCATATGGTCAGACTATAATTTAAAGGAAGATCAATCTTATACGGAATTCAAAAGTTGCATTATAACTTTGGACAGTTACTGATATATCTTATCAGATACAGTTACCAAAGTCTAAAAACAAAATCATTTTTCTCCAACAATGTCCACTTCTCAAATCCGAGAAAAGCAATACAGGAAACCATACTAATGAATCAACGTGCACCTAGCCCATCACAAAGAAAATGCTCTGAGCTGCAAGCTGTTGAGCATATTTATTTAATGTAAGAACACGGAAGCTCGAAACAATTGTGACACTTCATTAGTGTTGATGGTAGCAATTCTATATGCGACTGTTCAAAAGTAGTTTTTGCAACTGCTAAATTGTATGAAACAGAATTAGACATTTAAAAGAACACTCTTCTAAACAACAATGAACAACATCTAATGTAATTTGGTTTTGGCAAAGAATAATCTATTTTTTGATCCAATGAATAAAATCATGATATTGACGTGTTTAATTTTTTAAGAAATACGTCCATCGTTATTTTCTTAGTCATCTATAGCGTGTCCAAAGTAAATTATTGTGTATTTAAAGTGAATTTAAAAAACAAATCTCAATTTGTAATCCGGTTTTGTCGTTTTGTCGTTCGACAAAACCTTTCTGCAAAAACTTATAACATTTCAATTTCATTCATGACAAATCCCTAAAAATAAAAATAAAAGTTATGAATATTTGTTTACAAAACACATTAATCAAAACAAGGAAACTTGCGAGACCTTTGACCACAACATGACCACACTAGGTATACTGTCATGTTTTCTGGCCTCACAAAAGCAATCCCCAGTATATGGATTCGATTACATAATACAATTTCTCAGTCTTTAGCAGTCCACTTAGATACACAGACTTCGGCGAGACCACGGTAAATATGGCAAATTCTCTCAATCTGAAACTAATTTCGATAATGACTACCCAAAAAAGAAATGTTGATAGGTTTATCAATATGATAATCCAGTCATGCTTTGAAAATTTTGAAACGTAAAATGTTAATTTTAGAATAGTGAAACAGTAAATTCGATATTCAAATTATTAAATATTTTCTGAAAGGCATTTTTCATAACATATAAACTCTAAATTATCTCGATTGATAAAATATTCACGCTTATTTTACTTTTAAACTGTTGCATGTAATACATGTACATTTAGATAAGTTCTTCGTGACTTTTCCATAATTATGTCATATTAATCATATCACAATTGAATAAGTATCGCTATTTATGTTATCTTGTGACTATATTACGTATACAGAGATATTTATCCTAATGTTATTTTGTTCTTCGTGGTGTTTTCTTTAATTAAGTAATTAGTAAATTAAGTGTTTGTTATATATCGTTTAATAAAATGTCGCTACTTATCATGATTCATTTCGAAATACAAATTACAATTCTATAATTGCATTACCTTCACATAACTTCACATAACACATGGATTTATTTTGTAGATGTCACCGACTGTGATCCTCGTCGAGGCTCTACTGATGGGATGTTTAGTCATTAATATCCCAGTGCGTGTCAGTGGTCTAGTGGAGCCTCTTCCTATGCCAGATATTCTAGAAAACTGCTACAAATATCGAACCCAAATCCTTAACGTCACCGACATGCCAGCCAATGAGATTAGTTCGTTTTGTATCACAAACTTTCTCTATAAGACATACCATCTACGTCCTCAAAGACCTATCGCTAATGAGACCATTCAGTATGCGCAAGAACTGTTTCGGCAAGTATTTGGAGATGCTCAAAAACGTCGCAGGAGTAAAAGACAGTTAACCCAAAGTGTTCGACGGGAAGTTCGGATGATGCCCCGTCAGATGTGGAATACGTTTGTTGCACGGATAAACATTCTAAAGAATCAATTTGTAAGTAAGGTCTGAGGTACAATCTAACTCTATTATTGCAACCTTTATAATCAAGATAGAGAGTCCCGCGTCCTAGATACAATCCAACCTCATTATTACAAGCTTTATAATTAAGATAGATATTCCTAGGTTTGAGTTACAATCCAACTCCATTTTAACAAGCTTTATGATTAAGATATAGAGTCCCATGTTTGAGGTACAATCCAAAACCAATTATTACAAGCTTTATGATTAAGATGGATGTTCCCAGGTTTTAGTTACAATCCAAATCCATTATTTCAATCTTTATCATTAAGATGTAGAGTCCCCCGATGTTCTGTGATTTTTCCCAATGTAGAGAAATTTAAATACGTTTTGCATTTTTTCTGAGATGGATTTAATTTCCAATTTCTCAAATAAGAGAGAGATATAGACGAAAGAAAAATGAATTTGGTTTGAACAAAATATGTCTTTACTCGAATGACGAATCAATACTTTTCCTACCATTGATTGGCAAATAACGAAGTAGCAACCATAACATCGCTCGTTTTAAAACCTACATATGTTAAAAAGAGGAATTGTCTTTTTATAATCTTTGTCTTTAAATTTAAGAGTTATCTATTGTGTTAAAACTATTGTAAATAATATGTCATGATGGAATAAACGTGATAATAAAATTCGCAACCATATCTTTTTTTTTCTTAGAATTTACTTATTGACATTTACAAGTATTCATAAAATAATGATATGAATGTATAGGTGAAAATCAATAATAGGGACGTCATTCCACCTTGAATGGCATCAGATACTTAATGAAGTACAGTTTTGACAGAAGTTTTTTTTCTAAAAATCCATTTTATTCAGACATTCATACCAATTGTGATGTGTAAAAGGTCACCGTACTTCAGCTTATGGTTACATGTATTATTTTGTACTACTCTCTCAAGGTTGGTCCCAACATAAGTCGATACGATGCGTTTGCTGATATCCATCGACTGGTTATAGATTCTGCGCATGGTGGCCCAAACTTTTTTGGATGGCATGCTGTGTATTTGATATTGTAAGTAAAATATGTTAATCACATTTTCATAAACTCAATAATCTACAGAACAGAACCAACACAACATACTCAGACTGATACACAATGAAATATCATCAGCGTATAATAAGGATAACATTCAATTTTATAAAACCGTAATAAAAATGATGAACTCGGGCTGTTCAAGAGAATAATAACATTATCATATACTCAGAATCACTACTCAGACTGCTTTCTGCTTGTGAACCCTCTGCAGAGTTTGGGGATGGGTTATTTTTCATGCCAGCTATTGGAGGGACGTTGGACAAACCAAGCTAAGACCGCTGTATCCCACTGCATATAGGTATCGTATCGAAAAACGCGACTAATGTGAAGACCCTTGCATAATCGGGGGTTTTCTTCCATGTTTCTACGACGGGGACACGGAAAAAGACCAAAATTGATCTGTTTCTCCAATTGCAGCACTTTTTTGTTTCATTTCTGTCCTGTTTTCTTTCTTATCTTTCTACTTTCACTTTCACTTTCCTGCCGGGTTTCCCTTGGCGCCTGCCTGATATAACGCGCTGTTGCGAGGAAGTTTAACCCGAAACAAACAAATATACAAGGACAAAGCAGGTTCTGACTGTTGTTCACGCATTTGCACAGTTGTAATTTACCATCCTTTCATTCATGTTTTGATATGTTGTCCCTATGTTGTTTTGAATAACCCATTTCTCAGTATGAAGACGTGATATTAATTGAATTTGACCTAGATTTATACGGCGGGTGTCGTCGATGGAGCAGAAGATGTTTACGCTTCCAGAACATCTGTTTTAAATGTCCGTGTACTCTTTCAAGTTTTGCCGTGTACATTGTTTCTTTGTTCATAGATTACCAAAGTGATCGATTTTGAGTTCAAATTATGTTTTTTTGGCACTTTGGTCATTAGTTGTGTCTGTTTGGTTAAATTTGCGATAAGGATGTCTGATTTATGAATGAGAATGGAGAAAAAAACCGTATACCTTTTTGTTGTAGATTTGAGCGAGCCGTTGGAGTTCCGGTGCCATACTGGGATACCCGACTTGATTTCTATATGGAGCAACCTACTGATTCTGTTTTGTGGACACCGGAATTTTTCGGAGAAGGATTTGGTGCCGTTACAAATGGTCCTTTCGCCAACTGGTATACACCAGATAATATTCCACTTACTCGAAACATCGGTAATGCTGGAACCCTTATCAGCGATGAAAATGTACAGGCTGTTTTAACACGAACACGTCACAGCGAGATTGTTGAACCTAATCCAAATCCTCAGTATAGTCTGGAAATCCACCACAATGGGCCTCATGTCTGGGTTGATGGTCAGTTATCGGCAGGGGTAACAGCGGCCCAGGACCCTGTCTTCTTCATGCTTCATTCGTTTGTAAATTATTTCTGGGTATTATTCCGGAACAGACAAAGGGGACTTGGAATCGACCCTGCTACTGATTACCCTCCTACCAATAATCCAAGTCAACAGCCTTTCGGTCGAATGATTCCCTTTCCCTTCCAGCTCAGAAACGTTGACGGGTACAGTAACCAGATCGAGGCTCTGTCGACATACCAGCCTCCACCAACGTGTCCTACATGTGGCGGAAGTTCCTATTTGGAATGCGTCAATGGTAGATGTCGCTCTCGCGTTGGTCTTGTTGCAAGTGGTGCCCCGATGGCTAGAATGGCTGGAATGGATGCAATGGGAGGAGGAGCTGCAGCATTTAGCTCGCCCACAGCTGGCGGACAGGCAAGAGCCCAGCAAACAGTAGCACAGACTGGGCCTCTACCGATAGGAAATCGTTTCAGCACTCCTTTCCGCGACCCCAGAACAAGAGGCGATACAATTCCTAATGCCCCTGCAAGAAGAGGGAGACGAAGTACTTCGCAAAATACTACCTCAACAAAAACATCAAATTTAAATTTCGACAATTCTCAAATAAACAAGCCTTACCAAAATACGTTTCTCCTGAATGGTGTAAGCGATGTCAAACGTTGGTCTTTTATACCCGTAAGAATAATATTTGAAAGAACCCCAAAGTCAAAATTTCGATCATTTATAATAAAAGATGGCAACTTGATAGAGACAAATGACATGTTCGAAACTCAAGAATATAAAGGCCTCAAAGTTGAAATAAAGAAGAGGATGCCAGCGACCTACAAGAAATGTCATGTATCCGGTTCCGGTGCGTCCAAAGTTTACGTCCAAACCGACGGTATTGACTATTCAGGCAGGTACAAGGACTATGCTGTAGTGGACGAGAGATTGCCTATCTCCTCCTCTATGACGTATATTGGAGTCAAAAATCCAACTGAAGGGGCTGCTCAGTTCCACATGACCGCGTACGACTCGTGTGGACGTGTTTGTAGACCCCAGTGTCTCACTAACGGAATCTACCGACCATGTTCGGGAACATTCCGTGTAACCTCAACGTATCCGAAAATGTATGGACTTTCGTATGAGGATGCTGTGAAGGGAATTTGGAAAAAGGGCAGCAATCTCCTTCCCGAAAGCCACTCCGGTGAAGTTCCTGTCACTTTCTTTTGTGACGCATACCAGTCATGGCCATGGGTTTACGAATAAGACCATGGGTTTACGAGTAAGACCACGGGTTTACGAGTAAGACCATTGGTCTACGAGTAAGACCATGGGTTTACGCGTAAGACCATTGGTCTACGAGTAAGACCATGGGTCTACGAGTAAGACCATGGTTCTACGAGTAAGACCACTGGTTTACAAGTAGGACCACGGGCTTACGAGTAGGAACATGGGTTTACGAATAAGACCATGGGTCTACGAGTAAGACCATGGGTCTACGAGTAGGAACATGGGTTTACGAATAAGACCACGGGTTTACGATTAGTAACATGGGCTTACGATTAAGACCATGGGTTTACAATAACATCACGAGTCTACGAGTAAGACCATGGGTTTACGAGTAAGACCATGGATTTACGAAAAAAAACATGGTTTTACGAATAAGACCAATGTCGCCTTGCATTGATTGATACTTTAAATACACCATCGCTAAATAGAAAATTAAATGAAAAACTTCAGATTTGTTAAATTTTATTAATATGCCAAAATTATAAGTTACAATTATCAGTTCCTTTTTTTAGAAATAAATGCTTGTTTAGTATTCAGTGTATGTTAAAAAGTGTATTACCTCAATCTTCGAGATTCATTATTTTTGTTTTAGAACAAAAGGGCACAGATGATGTAAACAAAGTCAGATAAAAAAAATTGTCCTCTGATATTCAAAACTGAAATATCTACCAGGCAATGTTTTCTTTAATCTATGTTTATATCATGTAATAATTAGATAGTGTCATTATCCGAGCAAAGCAGATACAGATGTTGAAAAAATATCGTTAACATTTTTCTCCGAGATCCGACACAAAAACATCTACCTTTTTTTCGAAAAAAAAGAATGTTTATGCATTACAAATTTCAACTTATCAAGTTTGGATATCTTTTCTTCAAATAAAATTATGTTTTTTTATTCTGCCTGTTTTATTATTAATGGTAAAAAGCGGTTCCTGACTGACTTCCGTCTTCGATACTAACATGAAATTTACATCAAAGGCGTTGCTTAATATATTCAATATAAGAATAAAACATGCAGGTTCTTATGTTGAAAAATGTATTCAGATTTTATTTTTAATAAGCCAAAATATTTCGATTGATATGTTCAAGAGAATAACTTTATTTGTCACATGCAATAGAATTCGATAATTTGTTAAATTATGTTAAATTAATTTTGTATTTGCACATACATTTCATCATGTTCAACAAATACTGAAAATTATTCAATATAGTTTCCAAATATTTTTGAATTATATTTCTTTTAAAAGAATTCTACGAATTAAGATATAAGTTTAGCAATTGTCCAAAAATGCAATTAAAAAGCTGTTTATTGATAATAAAGTAAAGAAAGGAATTCTAATTATTAACTGTTGTTGTGTTATTGCATTTATTCTTATATGAAATGAGTTATCTTTGCATGTATCAATTTTCAGACATATGCTATTAATATAAAGGGTTAAGTTTTCCTTTTCGGATTAAGGTTCATCAGTTTGGTAGCAATAATATATGCTAAGTCTGTTTTGAACACAAACAGGAATAGAAAACTCAATTTGCGAGCTTTCGAAAACTTTCTTTTGTCAAGCAATGAGTGTAAATGATCGGTGTCTCGACTCAAAACCGCAGACAACAATTCACTAAGTCACAGTGTGCCGAATCGGTAACGTCAGCTGGTATGGTATTGCTAGCATATACATCGATGTGACGGGTCTTGAAACGTTGCGACAAGTTTGATAAGTACATTGTTTGCTTATAACGTAAAAATTTGATATAACATATTTCCATACTGATTAATCTTATGAAAGATTTTAGGGATAAGAACATCATTCCGCATTAAGCAAAAGATAAGTGTTCTTTTTGTGGCATTCTGATTAAAGAATTCAACCAATACGAACACTGAAGGGTCAAGAAGGGAAACCATTTTGATTGACAGTATATCCTTCCTCAATTTTTGGAAACTGTGACCCTGACCCTTGAACTTAGCACTATGAAAAATCCCTATAGTGATAATCTCAGACAAACGAATGAAAGAACAATGTGAAGACTATAGTGCACTCATATTTGCTTTATCCGACATTATTTTTTTTGCTTGTGGTAAAATGTTTAATGATTTTTGTTTACAACATTCATTAAATAAAGACAAAACTACCACACTACCAAACTTTATGATAAACATGACTTCTTTTCGACAAAGCTTATTTTTCTTTATTCTTCTATTGACGCGGTTGCCATATTCCACAGTTGGTTCCCTATTCTAGACCCTTGTTATTGTCATATTTTATACTTGTTATGATTACACTTGATAAACTACACAGTCGGGATCTACCTTCTTACTAACAGGTTTCATCGAATGTTGAATAACTTTAGGTGGTCATTATCATGACTTCTTTTCCCTGGAAGGGATTTTTGTAATTGAAGACATAACTTGGTTTGTCTGAGATGTTTATCGGCCTGCATAATTGCTTTTGCATTTAAATAGATACATTATGATCGGTGCAACATGTACCTCTGGAGCAATGAATGCTTAACCGTCTGGAGAACATAGTTTCGATTGCCTCTCTTTGTTTTGTTTCTAGCCATCTTTATAATGATAATACTTTAATAATTTGAGGTTTCTATATACCGCCTTATCACATCCTAGATCCTCTTAAAGCAGTTCACAAATACTTATCCGAAGTTATTGGGCCTTTGCAACCAGCCAATATCTTTCTCAACTCCAAGTGAAGCACACAGGCGGTGCTGCCATTTAGGTGCTCACAGCCAGCATTCACTAGCACTGCCCAGTCACGTACTCATTTACAGTTGAGTAGACTGGTACAAGCGGAGTAACGCATCTTGTTAAAAAATACAACACAGTGACATATCGGGATTCGAACCCGCGACCGTTCGGTCACGTGCCCGGTGTTCTACCACTAAACTACCGTGCCTCTTTTCGTATATTTTGTTGTCTCTTCATTTCCTATTTTTGTTTCATCCACATTTCAGATTTTGTTTTTCGAACAGAATCCTGACGTTGTGGTATGTGTTGTATAATTTGTTACGCGCAGAGCCCCAAGAAATGATGATAGTCGATAACAGCCGGACATTTTCAATTGGTTAATAATCTCTGTACCACAGCAAAAAACTGTAACTACATTTATGTATTAGAAGGTTCTATGGTAAATCGTTTCTGAAAAGAAAACCATACCTTGCAGAACTCTAATAAAAAAACTGTAAATGAAAAAGAAATTACTAAATGAAATAACTAAAGAATCTACGAAAGTGTTCTGGGTGTTAAATACAATGTAAAAGGATTCGAACCCTGGACCTCCGATCAATTTATTCTCTTCATAACGTAATTAACTATGTGATCATCGATAGCACAATGGTACAGTTGCGCTTACGTTCTTACATAACGAAATTAATGTTTCGGGGTTGGGGTGGGATCGCTCTATGTATTACAACAACTACAGTAGAATTATCAAGTGTTTTGCCTCAGTAGGACAGGAACCTGTAATGTTAAACGTGAATTATGGTACATGGTTACTTGTTAATCTTTTGATCAGTTTCTTAATAACCTGGTCCACTTTTATAACTTTTATATTGAAAAATGTATCAGGTACATTTTTTGCGCACATTTGATCCCTTTTTGCGAGCTGGAAGTTTTATCTATTTGGTGTATTAAAAATCCCACCAACGATAAAAAGTATATTACGCAATTATACAATGGTTAACTTTGTAATATGAAAGTAAACCAAAATGTCCAGTCACTTTTACGTTAACGAAGTACCACTAGTAGTAGTTTTCAATGTGCGATGAAATATTCTATTGCTAATTCTCAATATCCAATTTTTAATAACATTATTGAACACTAGCGGAAATCCTTGCAAGGTTAGTTATTCGTAGATCATTTTTTTTTCCGGTTTAAATCGTATCACGTTTTTTCGTCAGTTAAATACATGAATAACTAAAATAAAAGTATCACACCTTTTTTTATAATATACGATATCACTTTCTCACGAAGAAAATGATACACGAAAAATGTCATATATACAGTAATATATAAACCTGAAATGTCATTTACAATCAGATATATATATGTCATATTCACAGCTGAAGTATAACGTTTGCCGACGTTCTTAATGGTACTTTGATATCTTCCAGCCAGTAATCATGCTTGGGAAACTGTTTCATAATTATTTCACAATATAATATAATGAATATTTTTGTCTTTGTTTTCAGTAACATATTTTGTCACGCAGAAGAAAGGAAATAATATTTAACACCACAATACAGAAGTTCATTCATTTCATTTTAATATTATAAACAATACTCACAACAGTTAACACTATTCACACACAAGCCCATCCATATTTTAGCAGTCAACATGTTTGTAGATAATCTCGTGAAATGTATTCCAATTCACTTCTGGTGTCCACATATACAATATGGTCGGAGATGGCTTGTACTAGTCAAATATGATAGCCCAGCATCATTAAAACATAAAAAATATACATACAATTAATTATATATCACTGTTCACTTCGGTATCGTGTGCTGTTTTTTGTATTGGCCCCATTGACGGTTATCATTCATTCATTTTTCTTGTGGGATCCTATGTTTTATTTGATAATCATTTATGCCTGCGTGTTTGCTTCCATTCTTTTGGGGATTTAAATCTTTTGTAGACATATGTGTAGGATCGCCCCTAGTTCTTATATCCGTTAGTATCGATTTAAATTTTGGACCGACATTGGCGGGACCAAATCTATGCTTTATTTGATAATCGTTTATGCCTGCGTGTTTGTTTCCATTCTTTTGGGGATTTAATGTTTTTGTAGACATTTTTGTAACGTCGCCTCTAGTTCTTATATCCGTTAGTATCGACTTAAACTTTGGACCAACATTAGCAGGACCAAATCTACGGATATAGTTACCAACACGTCCAATACCTCTGTGAATTATCATCGGATAAAAACCCCTCTTCAATCTCCGACGAAGAGGGGCTGTTGGCAGGGGGTCACCTCTTGTTCGTGGATCCGTAAATGGTGACGTAAAACGCCTACCAATTGGGAGTGGTCCAAAAGCTTGTATGGCCGCCCGTGCACGCTGTGGACCAGTTAGTCTATTGCTCCTGACAGGTCTAGGCTCCCTCACCCGATTGAAGAAGTCATAAATTGCACCCCAATCCAGAACATTTTGGGTATTGCGCTTCACTCTGTGGTGATGAGTTTTAACGCGATAGTTCGCCCCAAAATGTTTTTCATTTTTCCCTGAACCAGCATCTAATGCTTGAAGACTTTCCATTTTATAAACCGGTTGTGGTAAATTATCTGTTGACTTGCATTTGTCTCCAACACATAACTTTTTAAAATTACGGCCACATGTTTTACACAAAAACGAATGATCGTATCTATCCTTGTGATTATATAACACACTTGTCTCAAATACGTCAAGAATGAGATTATTTAGGCTCTGGTAATCATTCCTGGGATCAATGCCATTCAGTTGCAACTTCTCCCAGAACATGTCCCAAACGTAGTCGATAAACGCATCGATCATGATGAAGACCGGATCAAGTGGATCACTAGACAAAGGGTTGGACCATCCTTTCACCCACAGTTTAGTACCAGTGCCGAGAAACTCTAAACTGTTCAGCGGGTATCTATTAGGTTCTAAAATATCATGATGGCTTCCTAGAGACATTATCTGGTCGAAATGGTCTTGGCTTAATAGCCACCCGATGTTTCCAATATCACGAGTCAACGGGGGACCATCCCTCGATACCCAGTTTGCAAATGGCCCGTTGACAACTTTTCCGAAACCGGAACCGAAGTATTCCTGTGTCCACATATTGCACGTTGTCGGATTAGTCATATTTTGGTCAATTCTGACATCCCAGTATGGAATGGACGTCCCCAGCGCCTCTTCGGCTCTATTTAATGGCAACAAAATATATACAATTAGTGACAATGAGCGAACTTTCCATAAAAGGGTGAATTTTGATCATATATTGATACATTTATTAGAAATATGCTAACAATCGCAGAATTTCAGCCCCCAAAAAATACTTATCTTGTGATATGCGTTTATGAAGAACTAATCTATTGGATTCGATTGTTTCTCACAGTACGGCTAATTGTTATAATGAGCATTGATGACAAAAAACTTATAATCTCATCCAACTAAATTTGGTTCCTCCTATTTTCAGAAACCACACAAACCAAGCTGAAATTAATATTTTTACAAAGCATTATTGTGTCATTTTGAATAACATACGGGAGAAATAATATAAACAGGTTGAACGTTTCTTTCACAATGCCGTTTCTAAAATTGTAGAACGATTTCTTATGATAAAATATGAAACAAAGGTAGTATTACTTACAGTAGGAGAAAAACTCTGTGCTGTATCAGGAAAGACGGGCTGTTAACCGCCAAATTGGTATACATCTCTGATAGTGCATCATAGCGACTGAGGTTTCGGGATATCTGAAGCAAAAACAGACAGGGGGAATATTCTTCCTATCCCTTGACCAAAATGGTTTTATTGGAACAGTAGCCATTCGACGTTTGCATGCATTGCCATAACGTAAGTGTCCTCTCTATGACCAGCGTCGGCTTGGATATTTGTACACTCAATATTTAACACATGATATAGTACTTGGCCATTTTGAGAATACAAATCATACTATTCCGTCTTTGCGTATTGCAGAGTTATCTTCTCTTGGGAACAGGTATTGATTGTTACGTCATTGGTTTGTGCGAGAAAATTACGTCGTTTTTTTCAAAAATTGATGACGTTACTATCACAAACAAGTGACGTAACAATCAATACCTGCTCTCAAGAGAAGATAACTCTGTAATACGCAAAGACGAAATAACTCCTATGATATCAAGCCAACGTGGTATCAATGAGTTTTAGTACTAAAAAAAAAATGCAAGTACAACAAAAATGTTTTTTGAGATATATTGTTTTCTTTACATTGTATGATTACTATCATGTTTATTTCCATTCATTAGTTAAGGTATTGAATACTATTTATATTTCCTTTACTTTATAACTATCCCTAGGTAATGTTAGTCATTCTCCTGTGCATGGTGAGTTCAATTGATTATTTACAATTTCGCGAAAGAAAAAAAAACACGAAAACTATAGATAGAACAATTAACTTAACTAGTTAAAGAGTATTGAAACATAACGCGTATTTAACGCATGTAATTTCAATGATTAATTAATTTACTGGAGACGAATTATAGTTATTCTCCGATAGCTAAAACAAAATAGACAGTTGTTACCTCAAAGTATTAGTTCATGTCATTGCTCTGAAACTACAAAGTACGTGGCAAAAATAATTGTTAACATAAATGTATGAAATTACCAAGCAGTTAAAACCTATATCTGTGCCGCAGTGAGGACATATAAAATATGATGTCTTCACATGTAATGATATAATCCAGAAATTCTGTTTTATACCCCAGTTTTACCGGATAAAGCAAAGAACGGGAGAAATGCGTCGAGTAGTCTATTAAAAATGGCGAGCACCCTTGTTATACAGCGTGACGTCATGAGAATATGGCGCTAAATATTTCGATACTAAATACCGTTCAATACTTTATATATTTTACTAGAATAACAGGATATATCGATATTTTCACTCGTGCTTTGCACTCGTAAAATATCGGTTGCTTCAAAACTCTTGAATGAAATATGGTACTCAACGGAAGACCACAAAATATCCTCAATTCTACCACGTTTGTATGTAACGACACTTTTAATCGTTTGATAACCACAGATTATTGGACGGTAGACCAAGTGCGTGCGTGTATTATTTTCCTTCAGACCAACGCTCTTCCAAACACCTCCCCTGCAAATGTTCGAATGATTTTGCTACCGAACAAATAAAACAAACTTAGTTAACCTCTAGATCTACTTAAAACAAGTCGATTACACCCACGTAGTCAGAATGTTCCTCTGAACGTTTCGCGAAGGGGACTTGAAAATGTGTTTGTTTATCTGCCAGATGCTGCTTTCATGTGTTGTTGAGCGCTGTCAATAGCTTGGTGGATTTGGTTGATTGAAATAAACATCTGGCAAAATGGCGACTAAAAATGAAAAATCCTTCCTAAATATATCTAAGTTTAATTGGCAATTGCTTTGTAAGTCAAAAATGAATGAAACGCGCAACGCGTTGTGACATGAAGACATATAGGCATCATGTGACAAATGTGAGCGCGTACAAAGCCTTATTCAAATACACCTTGCATATCATAGGCGTATTGGCACTAAGGTAGGCACGAAAAGGACTTTCATAACATTTCACGTGGTATAAGGATAAACTATTTTTTAATGTCACTTGATCAGTTGCACTTAATCACCAGGCAGGTCCTGGTTGATTAAGAAAAAAATATTTTATCATCACGCTCTCTGATATCAATCTTATATGAGGTAACGCATATACACTTGAAAGATATATATAGCACATGTTTAGCGATTATGGAAATTCAATTACACAAAAACATGTGATTTATGTTTATGCATATTGGTCTTAGTTCATAGTACATGAATACATGCATAAAGATCTGTTAAATATGCATGTGTTTTTATAAAAGTACGGAGTGATATGATTGAAATTAAACAGTTACATATTATCATAATTAACTATTATATCTATATACTGTAAAAACGTTGTCAAGCACAAAAATACCTTCGACGAGTTTGCCAATATACCTCTCTTTGTGTAATTTCGGGTCAACACAATTCAATGGTTTATACACATAGTCATAGAATCATGGAAATATTTCTTTTGAAAGAGCTAAATCTAAACTTTATAATTTGACGTAAGCTTCAGGATTCATCAAAAGTCATAACATATTGAAAGGTGACCGTAACACATACTCCCATGTGATTGCACAATTTGCAAATTAAATGATACGTAAAGCATGTATTTCATGAACCATACCACTTCTCTAAAGAGATTACTTTGGCCATCATGGTTACAGGAAACATCGGGGACTAAAAGATCCACCAGCAGAGTCGACCACCTTTTATAATGAAAGACGAATGTAACACACATACGGGTGAATACACCTGTCAAATTTGGTAGTAGATACATATGCAAGACCACACACTTGTGCTTTTCTAACGAATCAGAAAGCACTCATTTAGGAGCGCACTCGTGAATATATACGTCCGCGCAATAAATGAGTGCTTTCCGATTCGTTTGAAAAACACAAGTGTGTGGTCTTGCTTTTATCACATACCTTCGGTGTTTGGTAGAGATCGATACAAAGATTTTATAAACTTTGATATTTTTTTGCAAATACCGGGAACTTTTCAGTTCGCCATGACAAGGGGATTCTCATAAAAAAGTAGTTTCGGCTAGTAGATAAATACAACATTCCGTATTGCACATGTGCAATACAGAAATGTTGTGAAAATTGCTTGTATTACTATAACAAGATTCAACAGGTATGTGATAAAGCGAAAGACCATTTAAGTAGTTCAATAGATGTATTGACCATTTTTTTTTTAATAAACTGATCAAAATTTAGCATTTCGTTCCAATTAGGAAATGAATAGAAAAACCATCTGTGGAGGGAAGTCAGTGATATCTTTTAAATTACAATTAAGATGTCAGAATAATGATGACGTCAACAACCGGGGGTTATTGCATTAATAGCTGGTATGAAAGTTATCTGAATGTGGTTATACAGTACTAATGTCTTACGATATTCAAATTTGAAAGGTTAATAAATAACATTTGTGTTATCTCAAATCTCAACCATGACACGTCATAGGCCAAAAAATAACTTCAGAACTATTTCATGCTAGCAAGCTAAGGCAGTTGTTAACAGACGTCACATTTCACTTTTTAATCTCATCTGTCAATTCAGTTAAAATGTGACACTGATAGATTGTCTTAAAACCGAAAGCAATAACCACATGTGAAGACTTCGAATTGATTTAAAAAGACGGAAATACTAATAAATTTGGTAAAACATTATTTTGTTTTTCTGAAATTATTCTTTTGACTACAATTACCATGTCTTAAATGATGCACTTGATAGCTGCTACGGATATGATAAATGAACTGTATAATAACGAAAAATGATCAAACTCTTTTTTTTTCCTTTTTCGACGAGCTCGGATAATTGCACAATTATCTTGACGTCATCTTTTGGTGACATCCGCAAGATGATTTAGATGTTTCTTACATCCTGTTTAGCTATGATATTTAATAAATTGCTGTAATCTCTGCGTGAATTATACATTCTATCAGGGACAGTATATAGAGGGGATTGGCAACTCTGCCCAGGGACAGTATATAGAGGGGATTGGCAACTCTGCCCCAGTCAAGATTCTATAGCACGTCGCTTTTGTGTTTGTTCACCGAACCGCGAAGTCATCGAGAGCCCCCTCTCGATCAGCCCGCGCTTGCGCACTAGCGTTAAAATTAAGCACGCACCTGCTTTCGGTGTCATGTCATAATCTCGCCGAGATCGAAGTGTTTTGATAACGGTTAGCCCTAATTGGGACTGTGTATTAGTAGGTCTTCTTTTTATTCCAGGGACAGGGCTATCGTTGCCCCTATGTCTAGCCTTTCGGCTGTGTTGGTGGCTATTACAACAAATCACATTTCGTAAAGCACGTTCCAGTGAAAATAATGCTAATATTGACACTTTTTGACACAAAAACAGCACAAGTTATTTGTTATTTGTTGCCATAAAAATTAGTACTACATATCAAAAAATTATTCAACTTTCTATCGCTGTAAATTTCAAGAAGAAGTATTTTTTAAATGAGCTGATCCTCGAATGCAGGCGATACTTTTTTGTTGCGTTTAACATTTCCGGTTGTTTACGGTTTTTAACAACACGTGTCCTTCGTTATCAGACGAGTAATTTCATCTGTGACATCGCTATCGTTCCAAATAATGCAAATCAAATCAGGCCTACTTAACATAGAAATTACTC